TATATATATATATAGCTCTATGCATATTTTTAGCGCAGCCTCATTGATGCGCACCCCTAATTTTGTGTTTTATTATCAAGATGCTTTTTTTAAAAATGCACCTCTCAGCTCAGTAAAACTCCAAAACATCAAGACCATCGCTGCGCACATGAAATACAACTTGATTTTTTTTTCCCCCCCCAATTGGACTCAAATGATTTCCTTTTTGCTCCTTCCACTCATTTCAAAATGGCGTGCCAACAGGCTCTTGTCACATAAGCATTTTCCCTTATTAGCAAAGCCAGGCCTTTGCAACAGCAGGAATTTTCCTCCCCGTGGTCACATCACTGGAAATGTTGACACTGAATCGGGCTGCTCTTAAAAAGCAAAACAAAACAAAACAGTGCTTGGTTGAAAACTCAGCTCACACTTCAAGCACATGTATGTTCGGTTCCTTTTCGACTCTAAATTGTCCCTGGCTCCTCTCCTCTACTCCCGGACTAGTACGGTATTTTTCCAACAAACCCAGTGTTTTTTTTTTTTCTTTTTCCTTTCGCTTCCCTCCTCCTTTTTTCTTTTTCCAGTTGAAGGTCTTAAAAGTAGAAACAATGCAGCTGACGAGATTTTTCCTTGTGTTCCCCCGCCCCCCCAATTCCTGCAAATGTTTTCCAGGCATTTCAAGTATAAACAAGCAGATAGAGTTGATGCTTATATGAAGACTTGACATTAACGGACTTAATGGGCTGTGTTGAAACTCTCTGGACGCTTCATTAGGAACACCCTTAGAATCTAATAATGCAAGAGTGACTGTGTGTGTGTGTGTGTGTGTGTGTGTGTGTGTGTGTGTGTGTGTGTGTGTGTGTGTGTGTGTGTTCCTTCCACTCATTTCAAAATGGCGTGCCAACAGGCTCTTGTCACATAAGCATTTTCCCTTATTAGCAAAGCCAGGCCTTTGCAACAGCAGGAATTTTCCTCCCCGTGGTCACATCACTGGAAATGTTGACACTGAATCGGGCTGCTCTTAAAAAGCAAAACAAAACAAAACAGTGCTTGGTTGAAAACTCAGCTCACACTTCAAGCACATGTATGTTCGGTTCCTTTTCGACTCTAAATTGTCCCTGGGTGTGAATCTGAGTGTGATTGGTTTATTTATACATGCTCCGCAGTTGGCAGGTAACCAGTCCAATGGTGTATCCTGGCTCTTTCCCGCAGTCAGCTGGGTTCGGCTCCAGCTTACCTGTCACCCGAATGAGGCAAAGCGCCATAGAACATGAATAGACGGATGTGGGTCAACTGAGGACGCTGAAATAAAGGCACTACATTTTTTTCCTAAAAGCATATTTTGAATGTCTGGAGTGAACCACTTGGGTAAAATGGAATTACCTCAGCTCCATTTTTTCCGAGATACAGTATACTGCATTTAAGTATGGCATTGGGGGGGTGGGGGTTGGGGGGTGATTTTCTTTGTTTTGGGCACTTGATTCTTCCATTTGGTCTCGTCATTAAATCGCTTCCATTTCTGCTCGACTCATTCGAGCACGACGACTGAAGGTGCTCTTAACGTGCATTCGGATCGTGTAGCTTTCAATGCTAAACCGGAAATTGACACAATTGTCATCTTTTAAAAGACACTGAGATCAGGTATTGCATTTGTCTACTTTTGTTGAGACAGCTCCCCCCCCCCCCCGTTCAGCCAAGCCCATCTCATTTGAAAAACAACTGCATAAATCGGTGCGACGTTTTCAGCCATTTAAAGCTTGACTGCCTCAATGGCAGCCACGTTTTCAATCTCGGCTTTTTAATTGGGAATATGCTTCAACACAATATCTTTCCATCATCTGTCCTCCTAGTCATCTTACATACCGCGCCATCCGCCATTTAGCATCCTGCGACGATTTAAGCATCCAAGCTATGCTAAAATCCATCCGCCATAATCCATAATTTTTGCAATATCACTTTCTTCTTTATAAATGTACTGATGCCTGAGCATCAAAATGTGTGTGCGCGCGTGTGTGTGCGCGTGTGTGTGTGTTTGAGAGGGGTTGACCCGGGGGAGGAGTCTGAGCATTACCAAGGCAACAGCCTCAGTTATGTAACATCATATGGTGTTGTGGAAACAAGGCATTCAGCAATGTGTTCCCCACAGCGTGGACGGAAACAAAAAAAAAAAAAACAATTGGCTGTAACGCTTCAGTTCAATTTAAACCTGCAATCAGTTTCAGTGTTGTTCCTCTCATGAGCTCATAGAATCATTCTTTATGACGACAGATTGCAATAAGAACAGTCGACGTAGCCTAACAAATCCACGATAATCATCAGAAATAGTACCATTGATTGGACTTTTTCTTTTTTTTTTTTTAAATTGCAGTCTCTTGCTTTGTTTTACATCAGGTGTTTACTGCCGTTCTCGAGGAAACGGACGGATATTAAGAACTCCACCTTAGGAACACTGCAACATCAGACTTTATCCAAACCCCCAAATATGCGCCAAGAGAATCAGGACACAAGCATTCTGTTTGGAATACTGCGTTTGAGTGGTGATTAACCCGTTGAGGGACAGCAGTTACTACAGTGGACAGCAGATTTTTTTTTTTTTTTTTTTTTTTTAACAAAAAGTGCCAGAACCTTAATGAAGACTGCATCCATGAACATGATCACAAGTGCCTTCCCTCCGCACAAGCGGCCGTTTGTTCTGCTGGGCAGCTGTGCTTACGTTGTTCGGGATATTATTAGCATGACTGTCATTCACTTGATTGTGATGCGGCAGAAATTCCCCCGTCTTTAAAAATGACTTCACGCTGATGATATGACTGCATTGACACCAAGCTTATTCAAGTTCAGGAGTTTTTGGGTCAAGAGAATGTTTTCCATGATTCGACTCTGGGAAGAAAGGAAAATATGTGAACCGCCCGACATCTTTTCCTCTGCAAGTGGACCAGCAGATTTGCAGTACTGTATTTAAAAAATAATATTTTTGTTGTGATTAACCTCCAACAAGAAGGTCGAGCAAAACTTTCAAGTTCAAACCGCAGACATGCATAACGTCAGCATCTCGCCCAAGAGCTCAGAAGTAAGCAACTAAATGCATTAAACTCACTGACAGTGAGATAGTTAATATAACAATGAGCTTTTGTCTACCTATTGTCTTCACAGGAGATAAACTGCAATTATCCAACACTGCAACCACAACAATTTATGGAGTGTACCAAAAAATACTATACAGTCAAAATGCTTTCAAAAATAGTCACCCTGGATGTCCGACTAAGCTACGTCAATCATGCTAGAAGTTTCTCCTCACAAAAGTTAATGCATTCGCTCAACCCAATTGTGTTCTAGTATTACAAAATTGTGGTTCTATTCGTCTTTTTCCGCATTATACGTTGCACTCTTCTCTCCCCCTCCTTGCGGTGCTTTTTCTTCCCGCACTGTAAATGATAAAACTATCGCCGTTATGATGTGGGCGTGCAGACAGCATGAGGGTGGGGGAGGAAAAAAAAAGAAACACATTTGTCATCTGTGACAAACCTCTGCAACAACCGTTGTCGGTTTAGATGATTATATTTGATTGCATCTGAGATAGGCCGAGTCACACTCATAAAGTCATTGACGTCCCTCGTTAGGACTTGCATAATGAAATCAGCATCCATGTGTGGATCTCAGAGTACAAAGACAGCCTTGTTCGAACACTCGTAAAATATCAAAATAAAAAGTTTCTCCATTCAAATGAGCTATTTTCAAGTCGTACTAGCTGAAGCAGGTGAGTCATAAAGTGCAAAGTGAGCCAGGAGTCCCACTCTGCAGTCTGCAGGAAGCCTGTAATGCGACAGTGGGTGGCTGTCACACAATCACTTATTAATGGTAACGCCTTACTGCAGTACCCTTGCTTTGCATTTGTATTTTTCACAACTTGGTACAATCAATGCAATTAAACGAAATCAATTAATACGTCTCAAATGATCTTCATTTGAACAATATTGTCTCATCATGTTACATGTAGCCCAAACTCTTCACTTGAATCATCAAGTGTTATGACACACAAACTAGAACCAGCCGCTAAATGAAAGAAAGCATTGTGCCTCGGTGAAATATAGTTGTTACGATATGAACGGCCATTTCACAAGAGCCCATACTGTCGAGCAAAAAATAGCCTGACCTTTACGATTCTGTGATGTGTCATAGCTGGGCCAACTCATGGTGGGCATAAAGCAAGGAATACGGGGAGATGAAAATAAAAACATTACGTCATGATGCAAAAAAAAAAAGGGGGGTGGGGGGTTGGAGCACAGCAGTCCAGTGTTAAGTCCTGGCCCGGACTCGCTTTCTATTTGGGGAGGTTTGTGTGGATAAGGTAGTGTTTGCATGTCCTCCCAAAGTTTGCTCGGTCAATTCATTGTTGTGTTACAAAATGTTATTATTTAGGGGTTTGGATTCATACACGCCCACCTCGCTTTTGAGAGGTTGACAGGTTTAAATCTTTCACATCAAATCACGTGTGCCACAATTGATAGCACCCCTGATGTTAATGCCTTTTTGGAAAACCCCGACAAAACTGCACCTAATCTTCTCAAATAATGCAGTCACCTCTTTTGCTCATTCTGCAGGTTTTCAACGGGGTTGAGGTCTGGGGACTGAGGTGGCCATGGGAGGAGCTTGGGAGGAGGGTATGCTTCTGCGAGAAAATTTGAAATTTTTTTCAGGCTTTTAATCAGGGGTATGAGTAATTATGGAGGACTCTATCTATCTATCTGGTTATAGAAATGAGCATGTTCATTTAAAATTCGAAACCAGAGGTGCCCAACCTTTTTTGATCAAAGATCGACTTTTCGATCAACCACCCTGCCGCGATCGACCCATTTACTACACACGCTTGCACACGCACGCACTGATGAGCACTTTTGCAGCGTGTTAATAGTTCACGTGTACCGTTTTAAAATGCTTCTCCCGGTACTCCAGTTCCCATTTTTGCCAGTGCGCTCAGTGAACTGTACATGAAACATACCCTGAATGAGAATAACAATAAAAGATACAGCGCAACAGCATTGATCGCGAGCTGCAACTGCTGACCGCTAACAACTTCTGGTGATGCAGGTCACGCGCTACCGTAGGTTAAAGGTGACCTGTTTTTTTAACGTTATTTTTAATACTTTTTGTGAAAGTGAGACTGATAGGATGCTAAGCGTGCAATGTGCACTAACACAAAATTATATCATGTTAATAACACGCACACAGACACAATGTTTTTTTTTCCTTTTCTTGGGGGGTGGGAGGGGGTCCCACTGCACCTCGCTACCGGCCGATCGCATCGACGTATTGGGCATCGCTGCTGTAAACGATACAAAGGACTGAATATTGATTTTAAAATCCATACGAGATGCCGTAGTTTAATCTTATGGCGGAAGCACACCAAGACAACTCAGGCGCACCGTTGCTATGTTGTTTTCTTTCACCAGTCAAACGCCATTATTAAACGCGAGTGCTTGTTTGCGAGCGACGGCAAGTGTTTCCTTCCAGACAATCCAGGCAGAAAGGCCCGCCGTCGGTTCCCTGCTGCGGGTTAGTGCATGGGAAAGCCCGGGCGGTGGTGGCGGAGGGGCACAACGTGACCTGACAACAAGGAACCTCCGGGAAAACCGTCAATCCTAAACTATGCGCCGAGGAGAGAGAGAGAGCGAGAGAGAGAGAGGACGAGGCTCCGCCAAGGGGGTGTACGTACAACGACATGTCACTGTAGTGCCACGCTAGGACGATAGACAAGCTATTCTATGGCTCATATGTAACGTTTCTTGTGTCTTTCACCTAATCTGAGACAGAAAGAAACATGGCTGAGCATTAGCTTGGGCGAATGAGCCCAAGTCACGGGCGCTGCGGCCATCACGAACCTCCCGCTGGCTCCGGCGGACACCCCGTGGCTGGGAGGCGGAGAAGGGACCCCCCGGTGACGTCAGTGGGCCTGTCTGTTTCCTGCAATAGAAAGTGAGGGGAGAAGGTGAAGGCAGAAATACGGAGCTGAACAACCTCTTTCGTCGCTTTAAAGGTGCGTTACAAAGGCCATTAGCTAAACAACTCCCGCGAGTATCAAGAAACCAACTCGGGGTGAGCTTGTTTTGTTTTCCTGCGTGTGTTGCGCTCCCACCCGTGAGGGACGCTGATCTAGTGGGTTTCTACGCTCTCGTTGCAAGTCGCTTTACTCCCTAAAAGCTACTTTCGTTCGTGATCTCATCATGCGTGTCACCCACATTAAAGTTTTCGTGGAAGCGAGGCTGTTCAGGGTGTCCGACACGGCGGATGTAATTTACTAGCGCGTGGTTGACCATTACAGCAACTCTTTATTGTGTTCGGTTGCCTTTTTCGCCAATTGCAGGTAAGCCCCTCGCTATTCCCCCCGATCTGCGTGCATGTGCGGGGCTGCCTATGCCGATGTTGTGCTCAGCGTGCAATGCGCACCGTGGTTTTGTTGTCTGAAGGGAAGTGTTCCATTTCGCTGTTGCAGAGCGACGGCGAGGGGTTTTCCCAGGCTCCTCCCTCTCTTGCAGGGCGTTCACGTGTTGCAACAAAATGCGCGTTTTGCCCATGCATCGCGCTGGTTCGCCTCATCCTCACCCCCATGCTGGATTTTAGCTGAAAAAGAAAAAACAAACTGTATTCCCCCCCAACTTCCTTTGAAACGAGATTCGTCTCCAAATTGACGCGCACGCTCATCCATCGCAGTGCGCACAATTGCACATGGCCTTATTTTACGTAATGGATACGATGGGACCACGGGTATGCGTGGAAATGCCTCATTAGTCAGGTGTTTTCCCAAACACGAGCGTTCGGCCATTGCAGCAGTAGTGGTGTTTTTCTCGGGGTAGCATCGGGGTGTTTCCTCAAACACACGCCCGGAGGGGAGAGAGAGAGTGCGAGAGAGAGAGAGAGAGAGAGAGAGAGAGAGAGAGAGAGAGAGAGAGAGAGAGAGAGAGAGGGGGTAAGATAGGCTTGCAGACAGAAAGACTGACAGGCGTGCACGTCTCTCTCCTCCGCCTCGCCAACGTCGTCGAACCTGCTGTGGAGAATCCCAAGAGTGCGTCCAGGTGAGAGGCTCGTCGCGTGGCATGCATGGTGGTGGCACTTCTCAATAAACGTGGCCGCATGCAGACAGATGATGCAGCCAACAGTGTTGTTCTCCCTCCGATGATGTCATTGCTCTAGCGCCACATGTAGCAAGTGTATGGAGGAAAAAGCATCCACTTGTAGTAAGTGTTATGTAATAACGGCGGAGGGCAAACAAAGGATGGGTCCAAAAGCAATGCCGCTCACTGCAATGGGCAGGTGTTGATATGTCTCGATCGGACTTGGTCGGGGTGAAGCAAGGGAAAGAGAACAGCAACATGCATTTATCATTATTATTTTTCTTACAATTTTCTATGCCCATATTTCTTTTGCCACGATACTTCTTGTGCAGGCATGCGTGGCATCCCATTTTTGCAGCTCTATGGGCTTAACATGCAAATTTCTCTTTTCTGCCATTTCTATCCATTATTTTTACCCCCCCCCCCAAATCTGAATTTGCATGAAACCTTACCCTTTTTACGTAACTTAATTTTCTCATATTTTCAAGTTGTATCCAACTTAAACAGGGCGACACGTGATGATGGTTGTCCTCTGAGTCACCCCTGAGCATTCGTTCCTGTAAAGCTCATAGAGCTTTTATTGTCCGCATCTTTCATCAGTTGCAGAGCAGCAACACACATGTCAATCAGCCCCCCCTAAAAAAAAAAAAAAAAAAAACACAACCTTGGAAGGGCAGGTTGCATCTGATGCAGATACAAGGTGGTAGACACACACCTCGATGTGACAGTGTCCCGAGCGACACTGCACGCTACCACAGAGGACCACTGAGAAGCTGGGCACCTGTTTGAGGACGAACCTCAATCAGCAGCTCTGTCCTAAAACCAGCACACAGCTGCCAAGTGACAGACTACAAGGCCAGCATAGTGTAGCCTTTCTGCTCAACTCATTCGGACTCGTGTTTTTTTTTTTTGTTGTTGCAGATGTATGCAGACGACTCCGCCACAGGTCGCAACTGCTCTCAAGCTCCGACGGTAGCGTCCAGTTTTCCCAAGATGCTCTTGTGAACTGAGGAGGAAAGATGCCGCGTACCAAGCAGAACAACCCCAAAAATCTAAAAGGTGAGTTTGCAGCCATTGGGAATTTTGGAAATGTCTCTCTGCCTTGTGGAGCAGGAGACATGAAATTAGTCAAATGTACAGTTTTGTTTTTTTAAATAGTATACTGTATTTGTGTAACTATTGGGTTCAATATTAAAGGGAAAAAAGCTGATGGAAATTTTTTTCTATCACCATAGTAATATCTGATAACTTCACTAATGACTTCCATAGTGTTATGGGGGGGTGGACTTTTGACATTGTCATCACTTGTTGCTGTTTTTAGGGGGGCAGCATGGCAGACTTTGCACATCTGCTCCAAACTTGTGCGATTTGGGGTTTGATTCCAATTGGCCTTTGCGAACTTGTTCTCCCCCTCACCTGAGTTTTCGTCTTGTACCCCCCTGCAAAATTTTGCCACTGGCGATATTTTTTCAGCTGTGCTAGTAGGTTAACTCCCCGTCAATGACATCTCGTTAGGTTGCTCTTTGACTGAATTAGAATTAGAACTCACTCAAACTTCATTCACAGCACTCTAAATGGTTGCAACCAAGTCGCGCTATTTCGCCGTGTCGAATCCAAAATCGATGTCACGCAATCTACCAAGTTCTTCTTGACAGTCATTCAATTAATTTGGGCCCATTTCTTGGTCGCCAGGTTAATGTGCTGTTTGACTCTCCGGTTCGCCATCGTTTCTTGCTTCCTTTGCACTTTAGTGCTCCATTTAAATGAGATGTCACCGTTTTCAGGGCCACACCCTGCTGGTTGTTATCGTTATGTAACAATGTATGGGGAGTATAAATCTGATGATTCCACGCTTACGGGCCCGCAGCAGCGGCAGTATCGTATGCCAAAGATATGTCTGATGGAGCATATGGAAGTGTCAGCAGCTTGCCACCCCATTGGCTGAAAGGCCTCGCGCGTTATGTTGTGAACTGACAGATTCATGTGTCAACAGACGTTTGCAGTTCGCAGATCTGGGAATTTGTAGCGTTTACACGCTGGGTGTGAAAGTATGCACCGTCGCCGTTCCCCGACAGCGGATCTGCGCGGCGAATTTCCCTTATGCCTCCGAGCGCCCTCTTGTTGATTTGTCCTAAGCGCAGACACTTGGTCAAAACAATGGAAACGATGATGATGTAGAGCGGCACCAGACGAAGGAATTGGCGGCCAACTTGCACTTGATGTTATTTTAATGTCAGTTTGTCCCGTGTTTTCGAACGCAAGAGGCGGGGACACGACAGTTGCCAGAGTGTCTTGTCGTTTTTGCATTTGGTGGTGATTCATCTGGATGCGGAAAGATGTTTGTTTGACAGTCATTTGATCAAGACGGACCCCCTCCAGACTCTGAAAGTCTTCAGGTTAATGGAACCTTTGCGTTCCATTAACCTGCCACGCATGTTTTTAGAATGTGGGAGGAAACCGGAGTACCCGGAGAAAACCCACACAGGCAAGGGGAGAACATGCAATCTCACACAGGGGCCCGGAATCGAACCCTGCACCTCTGCACTGTGAGGCAGATGTGCTAACAAAGTCGCCCACAGGGCCGCCCCATGCGCAAACTCATCTGTGAAAAATGTCTTTGCCTGGACACGCTCAGAATGTACCTCAAACTCCCACGATAGACGTCACATGATTCTGTCCCCATGTTTGAAGAACAAACTGACCTTACTTTGACCAACACAAAAACGAACTCTGTGGGATGGTGGAGGGGGTGACCATACAAAAAGTCAATCCTTTAAATGTTTTGAAAAATACTATTTTGGAGGGAGAAAGTTGACCGGTGGAAAAGAACCACCCATGTGTGTGTGTGTGTGTGTGTGTGTGTGTGTGTGTGTGTGTGTGTGTGTGTGTGTGTGTGTGTGTGTGTGAATTACTTATATATATATTTCGACACTTCATCCCGCCTGGATTTTTCTTAAATTAGACATAAATGCAAGGGAATGTCTAATTAGAACAACGAGCCATTTCTATAATATCCATGTAGAGGCATAAGATTCTTACTGGAAGCACAAAAAAAACAAAAACAAACAAAAAAAAAACATCGTGACTCATTTTGGAATTTAAACCAGCAAATGCAGCACACAACTAAAAGTGACCCGAGTTGCTGTGAGGTTGCAGCAGCTCTTCCTTGGTCAGTTCCCTGCCCCCCCTCCCCCAACAGACACACACACACACACACACACACACACACACACACTTTTTCCGGGTATGTATAAATCGCCGCCACCTCCCACTACGTCTCAGCGGCCCCGACTTCCAGTCTACCAATGGTCGCTCCACCACTGAGTGAGCATGCCAGTTCCTAGTTAGAGGACAAGTCCTGCTGAGTCTGAGGGCTGGCAAGTGGTTTCGTAAACCACAGGGGTCACACCATCGACCCGACCACCGAAATTAAAAGTTGCCCTTCTACGAAAAAAACAAATCATCTTATGACAGCTCTTTCCTACTTGGAACCTATCTGCTGCAGATCCGCGTCACTGAGAAAGTTATGCAACAGCTGCTCTTTTCGTTTCATTAGGCAATAACTTCTGGTTGGTGTGTGTGTGTTGTTTTGAATTGTAAACAAGCATTTTTCATTCTTTGGTTGACCTCGAGGTAGCAGGCCATTGGCCCTGGCGCAAGATTTGCGCACTTTGAGTTACTGACCGGTCGGTGCACGACTGGCAGATCGGATGGAAGGTTTGTGTGTGTTGTTTATGATGAATCCTGTGGTTACTTTAGCAAGAGCGTTCCTGGCTGTATTTCTGACCAAATCATAATAAGCCATCGCACACTGTAAACACCAGCCAGGGGAGGGAATTGTCCACCGAGTTTGACGGCGCATTCTTATGTTTCGTTTTTGCTTTCCTAAGGAAGGAAAATGCTCGTCACAGGCAACAAAAGGATTCATTTAGAATCCGTAGCAAGTTGAGAGAGAGAAAGAGAGTCATTCACGGACGGAGCAGTTCAACAATGCAAAGATGAACAACTAGAGCGGTTTCAAAATCGCACCGTCCAATTAATAGTACGGATCGTAGTTGTACGGTATTATTGTTTGCCGGACAGATATACAGTAGTACTTTTGTGTTTCTTTGCTATTTATTTATTTTTGATGAGAATGACATCCTTCAACATGCTACTTTCAATTTCGGGAATAATAGGTTAGTCATTTGGCAAAAAAAAAAAAAAAGGGAAAAAAAGGATTTTAATGCTTTGCCTTTTTTTTGTGCACTCTTTTTAAAGTGAGTCATTCTCACACTCGTTTTAGTGAAAACAATCCAGTACAATTTTTTTTAATTTAATTTTTTAAAAATTGTATTTATTTATTTTTAGGACTTCCGACCCATTTTGCATTGAGTCTTTCAAAGAATTTCACAAGTCAATCAGCAGATGTAACAACGCTTCCATTTTCACAGCAACTCCATGTTACGATCCATGTTCCCTGCTGTGTGTACTTTTCCTCTATGACGTACTTTGCGGGTAACAATGCAGAAATTTCGGAACTCCTGCAGCCCCCCCCGTCTCTCTCTCTCTCTTTCTCTGCTTTCTTGTGTTTACTTTTGTCAAACAGCTGGTCTCCAAGCAGCTCAAGCCAAACACCCAGTGGTTTCTCCCCTCAGACAGAATCTTTTTCTTTTCTCTCTCTCTCTCTCTCTCTCTCTCTCTCTCTCTCTCTCTCTCTCTCTCTCTCTCTCTCTCTCTCTCTCTCTCTCTCTCTCTCTCGACATTAGCAGTGACACTTAGCTCATGGCTGGCAGGCAAACATTAAGCGGCTGAAATAAGTGTTCCCCCCACCCAAAAAAGACAAGCACAACAATCACTCAGACCCTTCAACGAAATTCCAGTTTACTTAAAGTGACAAACCCTACCAAAATTGGCCCGCAAGCTTTTTTTTTTTTAAATTTCATTTTATTTGTTTTTAATTTCTATGTGGTTTAGCGGGAGGAAATTTTGAAGATTTCTTGACTGCAGAACATTAGCATTACGTATGTGCCGCACGTCTCGGCGCCCCGAGTTTGTTGACCTGTCTGGCAACAATTTAAACGGCTATAAACGTTTTTGTTGTTGTGATTGTGGTTTGCGGTGGATTACAGCTGTGCAGCGTCATAATGAGAGGCGGGTTTAATAGGTTGGTCAGCACAAATAAATACATGAATAAGTAAAAAAATACATCTCACATTGAGATCGCGCCGCTCAGTAGAATGCAGGGAAGTTGTTCCACAACTGCAAACTCCAATCACAATTGTAGCCATGTCGCATTAGCATTATTGCGATATTATCAGCTTTGTAAAGAAACGCGCAGATGCAGCTGTCAATTTGTAAAGGGGGCGTTTCCATTGTTTTTTTTGTTTTTTTTTTTTGTTTTTTTTTTTAAATTTTGGGGGACGGTGACAGCTGTCACAAAAGAAGAAATGATCTTCTGGACGGGCAAAGTGTCGAACTGCCCTGTGTGATTTTGAACGGGCCTTCCGATGGCAGTATCTGATTTCACGACAAATTCAATGGCTTCATTTTATCTAGTGAGCAGAGTCATGCGTGTCTGAAATGAAATAGTTGCTTTAACTGACCAAGTAGTAGACAAAAGGATTCATGCAAAGTTCGTTTTAGGGATGTGATCCTTAAAAAAAAAAAAGCAGACACCTCCGGTCACATTCTGACTTGAGCCTGCGACCCAAATGCCGGTGGGCATGTGGTTCAGGTCAGCTTGGGTGGTCTGTGTTTTCCCAGTCTTGAATGCTCCTCTCATTCTGGAAAAAGTCTTAAGTTAGGACCCGCACCATCTCTGGCTGGTGGTTGTCGTCACAAAAGTTGGGGAGGCAGGTGGATGTGGACAGCGCTTTAGATTTTTCATTTTTTATTTTTTTGCAAGCTGAATGAAGGATAAAAAATGTAATAGTTTGTTTGAGTCGCACATTTTGTACAGCATTTCCAAGTGAAGGCGGAACTTAATTTTTGACTCGGCTGACGCCACGTGATACTTCAAAACATCGACTCCGCGGTGTTTGCCGTGTGTCTGTGCAATATTTGTTTTTTTGTCTACAGCCCAAGTGGCCTGAATTGTTTATGGAACGAAACGTGCGTTCCGCTCGGCGTATCAAAAGCGTCTTCTTGCCCGACAGGTCGGGCCCCCGCGGCTTTAGCGGGGAAGCACGCCGCATGATGAATGCTCAACAACTGTTGAGAAAGGGGCTGTATTTAAACAAGGTGGAAAAACGTTCACCATGTGGAGCCAAACGCACACAGACGCTGAAAAGTATTTATGGAGGCAAATTGCGTTTAACTTTACGGATCTGATTACGCTTAATGCGAAGAGCCATGATTTACTTTTACTGTGGAATCTTGAATGCTTTCCATGGTGGCAACTATCTTGAAAACAGGGCAGATTTTCACCGATAAGGTTCTGGCTCAGTAATTTTCAGCAACTTCTGCTGTTAATGATTAACGTTTTGCTGACCGTGGCTCAATCAGCATTTACGTCGACTCCCGCGGAACATCTGAAGTTGAACCGCAGCCCATTATGGGATTTGTTTTAGATAAAAATGCTTTTATTATTCAAAAAGAAAAAAAAAATCGGGTGAAATTATCAACATAAACCCTTTACAAAGGGTGCAGGCAATTTTTTTTTATCGCATCTTATGACACTCGCAAGTGTAAAAATAAGTTAATGATACAATAATCACAAAACCCCCAATAAAACATGATTTTTTTTTAAATTTGTTATGCTGATTATGATCCTCCTGTCATTGGAAAACTCAAGCTTGAGGGGGTTTGCCCCCTGTTTAAGGAAACGCAGACAAAGATCTCTCCAGCAAGCTACCGTTTTATTCATTTATTGCCAGGAAGTCCTTATGGATTAGCTTCTGCCTCCACTTAGCCAATCTAAAATATAACAATGATACAATCAATCATTTTGTAGTGGTATATATGATAATTGTTCCTAAAATGCCATAAAGGTGCCCTCAATTTTTTTTTGTTGAACCTGCGCGACATGCTAACATATCACATGATCATAGTAAGAACTTATGAATTTGCTCAATTGCCAAATTGAACAACTTTGGCAGCATTCAACTGAATTTTAACCACCGCGATTCATCAGAGCTGTCATGTGATGGCCTGACAGTTTGCTGCTCAGTCCACGGCTGCCCGTTTTTGAGTGTCCAATTTAAAGACGCAAACTTTAATCTGCTCTTTTTTTTTTTTTTTTTCCTTTTTAGCGCAACAAGTTAGGTCATTCCAGCAAGTAAGCAAACATTAGGTCAATGCCCTCAGCACGGGACGTGAAAGAGTTAACATCCTGGCTTCGTTGAATGGATTTTTGCTTGTTGGGTCACGCTCAGGCAGCCAAACCAGTGTTTCCGTACGGGCCCTTCAAATTACAGCGTGCGGAACGCAGCGAGATTCACACAAAAGGGAAGTTCTCTCCCAGAGGCAGGAATAAACCAGCGTTTTAGCAACAGTAACTACAACAGTCGGGCAGAAACCAGTTTGGGGGAAGTCTGCTCTGAGCGGAGGTAGAACCCTCACAAAAGGCTTTCACTTTGACTGAAGCGCAGGGCGAGGGCAGGGAGGCTGGAATTTAGACGGCCATACTGATGAGGACATGAAACTGAGCGCGGTGGAAAAAATAAAAATTAAAAAAACGTGAAGGCTGCCGCTCTGAAATGGGGTTTCATGTCCCCTCATTCTCGCAAAGTACTTTGCGGCCACTTTGCACCGCGCGCAGAGCTTGAAAACGGCACGTCAGCTCATGGACTTCATACACGGAACGACATCCATTTCTGATTGATGAAATGATGATTGTTGTGGAACGGCTTTGAGCTCAAAGCCACCCCTCGCGATTTTATTTATTTTGTCAAACAGTTCTGACTTGCAAATGGGAGTTCCCGACCAGCCCCGAGGGTAACTTGCCGACGCAGGTGAGCGAGAGAACCTCCCTAACACCTGGTGACATCTGGTTTCGAGGAAACTCATTTGTCACTTTTCCACTTGGCACATATTTCGAATAGCTGGGCAAGTTTTCATTCCATCGTGTGCGCTCACTTGAGCTCGGCTGACTATTTGTACCTCACCGCCAGCCACAACATTCGACTGTATTGAAAACTTTCTTGACAAAGGTCAAGATGGATAGTTTTAAAAGGTATGCGAGTGCGTGTCGACTTAACCGTACATTAAACTAACAGAGATGAAAGTGGACTTTTCTGAAAATTCCGGGGGGGAAAAAAGTGTTCAGCGCAAACATGTACGCACGCGCGCGTCTTTTGGTTTCAACCAATCAGCACCGACGCCACACACGACATACGACAACAGTTAAGCTAAGCTAGCCGAGACGACGCGACGCTCGAAGTCGGACGGACACGTTTTTCTGCCAATCTGTGTGTTTCCCTTTTTGTCCAAATATATTTTTTTACAACAACAACGCAAATGGCCACGGCGTCTTTTATTCGTTCCACTTGGGTTTAGCAAGAGTGTTTATAAAGAGACGAAAATCTCTATACTGTCACGAGTGTTAGTGCCTCAGCATGGCTACGCTCGTGAAAGCAAAACAACAAACTCAAACGCGTGTTCGTTCTATGTTGTCAACTAATATCCGGATTAATTTTAGGCAAATTTTCCAGAGAAATTTTCATGAAAATTTGAAAATCCGGAATTCCGGGAAAATCCGGAGGACTTTCATCACTGAATTAATCACATGAACATTATTGAACTCAAAACACCTGCCACACTCACGGGCCACAAAAATAAGTTACAGCTGCTCAATCAAAAAAAAATAATACTGTTTTAATACCCTTTCAAGCACCCTGTAACCCGATAACACGATAAGCTGTCCACTGTACTAACCGCTGTCGCTGAAAGGGTCAATAAAGCCAGATTTATTTTTTTACATACTACTTTAAACAGTTAGTGGCTTTCATTGTGCAACAAACACCACATGATGCTTCAAATAAAACCACTAATGTCCAGATAATTACTTTTCATTACGCAACCAACAATTTCTCTTGATTGAATTCCATCTCGGCCACCTTATTGACGTTGTCTTCCGCCTGCCACTCCTGCGCGACTTGAACGACTGTTTATGTATCGAACTCTGGTGACCAATACCAAATCCAAACCACGTTCCTGCTCGAGCATATCAGGTATTGCATGTGTGTTTGCCGAGTTTGAAAACGGAGGCCTTTTTTTTTTTTAAGCATTATTCAAGAAAGAGCGAGTTTGTCCTCTCAGGCATTAAAGGAGTGAGATGACCTGTCAGGTCAGCGTGTGTGTATATGTGTCCTTGGCTTCCTCGTGGGTGAGTAACAAAGCACTTCAGCCCATTCAGTCAAATTATTAGGCTTAAACTTTTCAAAGTGAAGCATTAGTGAAGGGCTCAGGGTGAGCTGAGTCAAATTGGAGCTAACGAACAGTGACCTTCTCATTCTTGTTAGTCTCGAATGCCTCAGTTTGGACACGCATGCACCTTCTCTCCCCCCCACACACCCCAGGTGAGCTGCTCCCGCCTGGAGAGCCACTTCCTGGAAACTCAGTTGAGCCGCATTGATGTTGGCAACTGGGAAAGGTGAGCGCGAGCGTAGGAGTTGGAATGATGAGGGGAAAATCGAGTTCGGAGCCAAACAGGATTTGTCCGCGCTGACGTCAGCAAAGCGGCCGAGAGTAGTGGAAGAAAATCTCCCCGCGGTGCCATGCCGGGGACTGGATGTCGCGTTATTTGGAGATGTGTGCATGACACATTTGAGGCGGGTGCAGAGCTCACACATCACTCGCGCTCATACACACTCGCGCTCATACTGTATGTCACGTCCAGAGAAACTTTGTATGTTCGATTGATGCGGCTAAATACAGGTGGCCATTTTTGTGTGATTGAGGGGAAAATGTGAGCCGAATTGGATAGAGGTTTAAAAAAAAAAAAAGTTTCAAATCGCCCCCCCCCCCCAAAAAAAATAAAAAGTGCAGTAAAGCTAGCACCGGAAACCCTTAAAAGGGTGATTGTGTGGGGGCGCTTTTGTGCGTGTGTGTCGGTGCATGTGTGTGTATACAGAGCTGGCATTGCTTAATGGCTTGCACAAGCAAAGCCCAATGAAGGGGTTGCCAGGGAAACAGAGCAGCATGAGTCTCGGGCTGCAGGTGCCGTTCCTTGTGTCCTACTGCTGGAACCTCCTACGAGTCGGGGAGGCGAGAGTGAGGGTTTAAAAGATGAGTGAAGGCGTTGGGGTGGGGGGGCGCAATGAGCGAAAATTAGTTCTAGGCAAATTGTGGCAGTCATACCGCATAAAAAATGTGGCGACTGTTTGAGATGCGTACGCACCGAGCGCGTGCAAAGCCAGAAAATTTCCACGGATTCATTGGATGATGCGTTTGGCGTTGCGGCAAGAGACCAAGAAACGCTCATGGAGGCAACAACAATATTGTCAATTCAGGACACAAAGGCTGGCCCAGAGCGGCGCAGTTGAGGTCTGGGCTTTGGCCGAGGCTGCTCTGGAACGATTTCTGAATGTGGCCATGTCAAGTTCAGATGGGAGGGGGGGGGGGAAACCACCTTATTCCCGCTTTTGTCCCGTCAACCACAGCGGGAGTGACAAGCCCAGAAGTACATTCAGACATTCCCAGTTGGTTCAGACACACGCCTGGCTGTTAATCCCCTTTTTCTGTCCTCACACGCATCATACGTTGATTCATCAGGCTGTGCATTTTACACAAGAGCGTTACGGTCTACGTTGCCGTGGCACAGTTTACCATGGTAATCCCAAATCTGGTTTCCATCGCGAGTCGTGCAGGTGGAGTGGCCCCAGCTTTGCCAGCTACGTAAATAATGATCTCATACCACCCCGACAGACAATGACTTCAACGAAGAAGAGCGGAGAGCAGTGAAAAAAATTCTTTGCATTTGTTTGTGGACTACGAGACGACGAGAGTTTTTGTTTTACTGACGTTCAACCCCCTTTATTTTGATGACACGCAGCTAGATGTTAGAAAAATGGGACTCCCCACTTGCTCCAGTTTTCACGATGCTGCAAAACTCTTTTGACGGGCTCACGGACAAAAAAAAACAAAAAAAACTTGCAACTAGTTGTTGTCGTTCTGCTATGACTTTCCCGACCAGGCACAACTTTATAATGCATTTGAAAAACAAAAAATGCATTACGAGGCCCCCGCATGGCCATTCACAAACTCTTTGTTGTGATTATTTCCTCTCTCTTTGTGTAGGCTCGTTGCCATCAGAAGGAAATCTGTTGTTTCGTCTGTGCAATTGGTGTGTTATTGACTGAACGAGGAGGTGGAGGAGTGGGAGGGAGTGAATGTCTGTGTGTGTGTGTGTGTGTGTGTGTGTGTGTGTGTGTGTGTGTGTGTGTGTGTGCCACCAAGGGTCAGTATCAATGCAAAGCGACGGGAGGGGTGAGGAGGGTCTGGGGTTGTCCAGACCTAGCTGAATCGAGCAGGTCGATAGTGGACCACTGGGAACCCCCCCACCCCCCCGAGAGAACAAAAGTTAACCAGGATTGCAGAGTAGGGTCAGAGAGGTTGGGTCAATATTTTAAAGACATACTCGCAGTCAGCGTAGGCATATTTAGAGCAGGGGTCAAGAGGTGCAGTCGTCATCTTAGCCGCTCAGGAGTGGCGACAGCAGTGATGCTGGCCAGTCAGGTGGGCGAACATGATGGATTGTCCGACAATGGCTTTACGATGGGAAACTTGTGCTCTTTTCCCCCCCTTGTCTGGTGGAGTGATCACCCCCAAGGATCCAGTACACACGTTCCACCAGCAAGTTTGATTTATTTATTTTTTTGGGGTGGGGGGAGGGGGGCAAACTCACTTCAATTAACTCATTCACTCCCAAAGACGTTATTAAACGTCTTTTCAGACTTGGTCCAGAATTGGCTGGTACTGAATGAGTTTTAATGAGGTACGCGTTTTAACTTTAGAAGCAGTGTTAGTATGCACTAACGCTTATTCTAATTCAGTCTGTGGACTGCTGAGCTGTAGCCTGTATTATCAAAATGTATCAATGTAAAATTTGTTTTAACGCTTTCGTGCAGCCTATAACCTGATAGGCTGTCCACTGTAGTGACCGTTGTCCCTCAAGTGGTTAATTTGTGTTACACAATAACATTGTGATTTTTTTTTTTTTAAATCTTGCACAAAAGAAAAACTAACACTAAAACTAAAAACACCCAAAACAAAACGAATCAAAACTAACAATGTTGCCCTGAAGATGAATTAAAACGAACTACATTTTAAAAACAAAACGAAAGAACGATAATTCCAAAACCGGAATAACCCTACTGAATCCGATTTATTCCAAGTCGCATTTCTGGCGTGTCGGCTGAGAGTGGAAACCTCAAAGAGGGCACTTTGCGAGCAACGCAGAGCTTCTGTCTGCAACCATGTATAAAGACAACTGCCCGCCGCCTCTGTCAACAGCCAAGAAAAACAAGTGCATGTGAGGGAACAAAAAAAAGGGGGTGGATGGCGGCGACGGAGGGGATGCAGCGTCAAAAGGTATCACGAATGATGTCAGACAAAGGCGCAAACGCTGTTTTGAACGGAAAACGGATACTACCTATCATTTTAGGAACGGGAACTTACAGTAGGAGGTTTATGGGTGATGCAAAAAAAAAAAGAACAAAAGCTAAAAAAAATAAATAAATTTTAAAAAAGTTGCACACCGTTGGTCATCTCTTCCTTCAGCTGCTGCAAATGAGAGGGGAAGGCTCTTGGGGATTTCAAGTTGCCAGTTTGTCCGGGAAATAAGGTCTGACTCACACACGCGCACACACACACACTCACCTAAAGGTTGTTTGGAAATAATAAACAACGCTTTTTCCATTTGAAAACAATGGGCCCAAGACCGGACTGCTGCATCATTTCATCACGCGCACCTCTCGCTAGCCACTTCATTTAAGCAATCAAGCTAATTGCGCTACGCACACACACACACACACACCTAAAGGTTGTTTGGAAATAGTAAACAACGCTTTTTTCCATTTGAAAACAATGGACCCAAGACCGGAGTGCTGCATCATTTCATCACGCGCACCTCTCGCTAGCCACTTCATTTAAGCAATCAAGCTAATTGCGCTGATGACTATGGAAAAGGGAACTCCCCGGACATGCCGCAACAATTGAACCCAAGCTTTTATGCAAGCCGTCAAGCTGCAAGCTCAGACTTGGCATTTTGCGTCAGCGCATTTTGTGTGTGAGAACAGTCACAGCATTTGGCGCAATGCTAATAGTAAGGCGCATGCTTTCCCCCAATTGTCCTCTAGTCACATTGCTAAACTCTCAAGATATGT